AGATAGATAGATAGATAGATAGATAGATAGATAGATAGATAGATAGATAGATAGATAGATAGATAGATAATAGATAGATAGATAATAGATAGATAGATAGATAGATAGATATAGATAGATAGATAGATAGATAGATAGATAGATAGATAGATAGATAGATAGATAGATAGATAGATAGATAGATAGATAGATAGATAGGTAATAGATAGATAGTAGATAGATAGATAGATAGATAGATAGATAGATAGATAGATAGATAGATAGATAGATAGATAGATAGATAGATAGATAGATAGATAGATAGATAGATAGATAGATAGATAGATAGATAGATAGATAGATAGATAGATAGATAGATAGATAGATAGATAGATAGATAGATAGATAGATAGATAGATAGATAGATAGATAGATAGATAGATAGATAGATAGATAGATAGATAGATAGATAGATAGATAGATAGATAGATAGATTAGATAGAATAGATAGATAGATAGATAGATAGATAGATAGATAGATAGATAGATAGATAGATAGATAGATAGATATAGATAGATAGATAGATAGATATAGATAGATAGATAGATAGATAGATAGATAGATAGATAGAGATAGATAGATAGATAGATAGATAGATAGATAGATAGATAGATAGATAGATAGATAGATAGATAGATAGATAGATATAGATAGATAGATAGATAGATAAAGATAGATAGATAGATAGATAGATAGATAGATAGATAGATAGATAGATAGATAGATAGATAGATAGATAGTAGATAGATAGATAGATAGATAGATATAGATAGATAGATAGATAGATTAGATAGATAGATAGATAGATAGATAGATAGATAGATAGATAGATAGATAGATAGATAGATAGATAGATAGATAGATAGATAGATAGATAGATAGAATAGATAGATAAAGATAGATAGATAGATAGATAGATAGATAGATAGATAGATAGATAGATAGATAGATAGATAGATAGATAGATAGATAGATAGATAGATAGATAGATAGATAGATAGATAGATAGATAGATAGATAGATAGATAGATAGATAGATAGATAGATAGATAGATAGATAGGTAGATAGATAGATAGGTAGATAGATAGATAGATAGATAGATAGATAGATAGATAGATAGATAGATAGATAGATAGATAGATAGATAGATAGATGATAGATAGATAGATAGATAGATAGATAGATAGATAGATAGATAGATAGATAGATAGATAGATAGATAGATAGATAGATAGATAGATAGATAGATAGATAGATAGATAGATAGATAGATAGATAGATAGATAGATAGATAGATAGATAGATAGATAGATAGATAGATAGATAGATAGATAGATAGATAGATAGATAGTAGATAGATAGATAGATAGATAGATAGATAGATAGATAGATAGATAGATAGATAGATAGATAGATAGATAGATAGATAGATAGATAGATAGATAGATAGATTATATTTATATTGTAGAAATATGTATTTTATGACAAGATAATCTAAGTCTAGCGAAAGTTACAGCTGTAAAAAAAGAATATTTCAAATAATATCTATTTGAATACATTTGAAAACCAAAAAAGGAGATAAAAAACAGCTAGAAAACTACAGAGAAAACTAACTTGTTAAATACTACTTACGCTAAAACTTATAATTAAAATTTTTCAAGTGCTAATACATCAGAGGATAAGTTTAGCCGATGAACAACAGGGTTTTCGTAGTAAAAGATTGTGTACAGATGCAATATTCCTTATAAAGCAAATTACTGAGATATCACTAGAGTATAATAGACCATCATTTCTGTGTCCGATCGACCTAAATAGAACGTTTGACAAGGTAAGACTCAAAGATGTAATCCATCTTCTCTATAATAGTTCCGCTAAATATTATAAAAACTATCGAAAACATATACCAAAGCAACAAAATTTAAGTCATATTAGATGGACAACTTACAGAACTTATAGAAATAGGCAGCGGAATACGACAAGGAAATTCATTGAGCCCCATCAATTTGATTATGGATGAAATCATCAAAAGAATTTAATATGACAATCTCATCTCAAAAAACTAAAACAATAGTAGTCAGCAAAGAACCAACAAGATGTAAAATAGAAATTGATGGCATTAATACACTGTAGAGCTATGGAGACCTGGACAAAGAAATGAGAGATCCAGTACAAAAAGCAAATTGACTGGCAAGATGCCTTAATAACACTATATGGTGAAACATAAAGCCAAGGTAAGACCAATAATAACATATGCCCCAGAAACAAGACCTGACACAGCAAGAACGCAAGGGCTATTGGAAACAGTAGAGGTAAGAGTACTGAGAAGAATAACGTACAGTGTATAAATTAATGGACACAAAATAAAAAAAAAGAATAGAATAACCACATAAGCAGAAAAGAGGAGAGCCGTGTCATCAAAATAGCCAGAGATAAGTCACCAAAGAAGAAGTATCGGACGACATCGCAAAAGATTAAGTGACAACCTTCCATAGAGGTATTATTCCGCCAATGAACAAGAAGAATTGCTAATAAAGAGGAAGAAGAAGAAAAAGAATACTCTCATTTTCGAAAACTCTTATTAAGGATGTTAATTTTCCTAATAAATCTAATTAATTATTAACCCAGATATTATTACCGTCCTTTTAAAAGCAACCAACTGATAGATGGCTCTAGATGGAGTGTTTTCAAGAGCCAGCATTCGACAAGTTTTAACGATTTTAGTGCGCGTACATGCTGTAATTGTGAGGTTATCTGTGTAAATTGCCAGGTTTTGGACTACAAAATGGATGCTTATGATTGGAGGTAAGTCTAGAATTAAAAAACTGTTATTTCACGGCATTGGCATGTGGATTATTGTTGTCACGTTGTTTCAAAGGTTCGCCGCTTGGGATTTCATTTTGTTCTTTTAAAAGAACGGTAGTAATTAGTACTACTAACGTGCGTATTGTTTCAGGAGGCCTCTCAAATTGCATGAGCTATTAAAAGAGCTTGATTCTGATGAAATTCCAGTCCCTCCAGATGGTTTGATCATATTTCCCACAGAAACTGCCAACAATGATGTCACCGATTGCGACTCCGGCGATGAAGAACTAACTACAATAAATAATTTACCGGGTAGTCAGATGAGAAACGATGTAGAACTTGTTTTTGACAACGCGACTGAATTACCACAAGATTCTGTGAATTCCAGCCTACTAGAAGAAAATTCGGATGATGGCAATATACCATTCATTGGCTTTGTTTCTTTCCAAGGAAAAGCTGCCCTATCAATTAGAGAAGAGAATATCTGCACACTGGATTCAAGGAGACTTGTATCAATACCCTGATTGTACTTACTGGAAAACTCAATTTGGACCGAAAATGACTCAGTCGCCGATGGAAATTTTCAATTTGTTTTTTGATGATGAAGTCATCAATTTGGTTACCGAATACACTAACATCTACGCAGGACAAAGAAATCTTTTGAACGACTTTACTCAAAATGAGATTGGGTGCATCAGTAGTTCTATCCTATGCAGACAGATTGAATGAAGTATGGCCTCAAAGGCGATTTCATCTTATTTTTGATAATTATTTACTGCATCTACTTCTATTCATTTACTGCATGAGCTAAAATAAAGAGGCATACAGGAATAGTGGTTTGCCGCTGGCATGATAATCGTTTCTATTGCTTCCAATTTTGTATCAGTAATGCCTTGCTGCTCTGTAAAGAGATTTTCACAAGCAGAGAAAAAACATATTCAAGTTCCTCAACCAAATATTGTTAGAATATACAATAACTTCATGGGTGGCGTTGATCGCAGTGACCAGAACATCAGTTTATATCGAGTGTCCATAAGAGGAAAGAAATGGTATTTTCCCCTTTTTGCTAATTGCGTTGATATGACTATTTAAAATGCGTGGCAGATTCACAAAACTCAAGACGGTAAACTGGATCAACTTGAATTTAGAAGATCTATTGCAACTAATATTTTGGAAACTTAAAAAAGAAACAAAACGCGGACCTTCTAAGCGGAATTCGAATTCGGTAGCCAATTCAAGTTATGACGGTATTAACCACTTGGTTCTTTATCAGGAAAAGCAATCGCGATGTGGATATTGTCACAAAAAAGTCCAGTTTTTGTGTGAAAAGTGCAAAATACCTTTACATCCAAAATTTTGTTTTAAATCCTTTCATTCTTTGTAAATTGATACTAATAAAATATATATATGATATCTGGTACCGTATATTACTATCGTCCTTTTAAAAGAACGTGTCAAAACTTGACAGGTATCGTCATAAAAAAATATATGATTGTGTTTTTTGGTTCCATATGCTATAATTTCCATGAAAATTTGAAATTAATTCAAAATGTTCACAATAAAAGTTTCAGTAATATCTGAGTTAATCACATAACGAGTTGACGTTTAATTTTTGTAGATCCAAAAAAACTCAAAATATTTAAGTAGGAAAAACAAAATGGGTTTTCATATTACTACCTTCTCTTCTACTATATATACTAGTAGATTCCACGCAATGAAAGCAAGGGAAGAAATAAACAAAGACGCAAATGAAAAGGAAAGTCTGAAAAATACGCTACTTACTATATGAAAAATACTAGGTAGACATTAGGTAGAATGATTAAAAGAAAACAAAAATTCGTGATTGATAAATTTATTAGTTTTTTCTTCTTTGGGTATTAACAATTGTGTTAAACATCTCACTTTTAGTATTTAGCCGGTCTTGATAGCAGATGAAAGTTGGTATGTATTTGTTTCTTAAGCGAAAAATACGAATTTCAAATGCTGTGTGAACCGATTCGTTGCAATTCAAAATTTCTAAGGCAGTCTAAAACCTTCAGTTATATCAAGATGGGCGTAATTGGTTTTCAGATATAGCGATAAATAATGCAACACCGTTAAAAATCAAGGCTCGTTATTCATTGACTGACGATATATATACACAAACAAATTAAATACTTAAATATTATTATCCAAAGTATTGTCGTCTTTTTTTGGTTCGACCATTATCGAAAGAAAACCATCCACATCGTCCATCTGTTTACAAACAAATTTGGCACCTATGGTATGCCTTCCTATTCGTGGAGGAGTGAATTTAAACTCTGCTTTAGCACGACTTCCAGGTGGCACACTTTCTTTGGCATATACTTTAAGCTTTCCTTCTATACCAGGTCCTTCTATAGTAAAGACACCCTTCTTTAAGGCCATCGGTAACGGATTTTCTACAGAAATCTCGGCGTATGTTTCAGTTTCTTCTATGGGAGTTGTTTTTAGCTTGATTTTAATATCTGGTTTTCTTATTCTAAAATCGTCTTGCGCAATATACTCAAAATTGGTATCTTCTATGTTCGCTAGGCATACTACATTAAATGCGCACTGATCTATCACTCTTCTTCCATAATCATCGTAAGTAACATATAACTTCAATTCTTGACTTTCTTTTGGCTTGACAACAACATTATATTTCTTCTGTTTAACGTTCTCCCCTACTTTACCTGTATAGGTTACTACTTCGACGCTTATGTTAGCAGACACCTTATACTCCTTTGTCGTACTTCTGTTTTTCATGTCTAGTATAACATTAAACGGCTGTCCAATCTTAATATCGTCGATGAGCTTGAAGTCAAAGTGTATGTCATTAAATTCCTCGTTAAGGTAATACCTAGAAAATAAATTTTCTGATTGGCGCAAAGCTTTTAACATTGTAGATCTTTCTTCGTCGCTACTTTCCTCGTATTTATACGAATATGTTATATTTTCTCTATCGAAGACGCCTGGAGCTTTCGTGCATATTAATTTTCCTATGCCGTAAGTGTCTTTGTCCAGTAGTTTTAATGGTTGCGTTGGTCCAGTGTATTTCCAAAAGATCTGTAAATAGAGATTGATCTAATTAGTTAATTTATATATAATTATTATAAGGTAGTGTCGCCAATTAAGGCCAGTGTCTTAATTAGGCCAATAGCAAATATTTTCTTAAATATAGATATTATATATTAGAGGTCACCGTAAATCGTTTTCTCAATCAAAATCGTCCACGCTATTCAGTCGGTAGTATCACATAGCAACGTCAAGTAGACTATAATAGACACTTGTTTGTTACGCTGCCGAAGTTCGTTTATAAATTTGAGGTAAGTTATAAAATTACTAAAATGGTACTTAATGAATATATGCCAATTATTTTTTCTTTGTAAAGAGAAAGTAAATTAATACTTTTTAAGGAACTTGAACTGTTTTTTCGCTTTATTGCTTTTTATTATTTTTTTTATGTTAAATAAAAAAAGTAGACAGTGTCCTAATAAAGTGTCAATTGACTGGCCTTATTAGGAGTGGATTGGCCTTATTAAGAGCTGGTGGACTTTACATATATTTCTGTACATAGTGACTTAAAATATTTTTTCTTTGCAGATATGTCCAGGAAAAGGGCACAGTGGACCGAAGAGGCCATTGAAGCTGCAATGAATGCCGTACGAGATGGCATGGCTGTTTATACGGCAGCACTTACATTTAATATTCCTCGGCGTACGTTACGTAACCATCTAGCTAGTGGCAGTTCACAAAAACGACTTGGTCGGCGTCCAGTACTTATAAAACTCCAGGAAGAAGAATTGGTTAGACGTATAGGAAGATTGTGTGACGTTGGTATGCCATTAACCCCCAAAATATTACGAAAAAATGTGTATGCTTTTGTAAAAGAGGCAGGAATAAGGCATCCATTCTCAGTTAAAAAGGAGATAGCTGGAAAAAAATGGATGAAATTGTTTTTCTCAAGGCATCCTGACATTGCAAAGCGTCGGGCTCAAAAACTCAATTTGGCCAGAGCACAAAAATTGAATCGTGTAGTTATCAGTGACTATTTCGAGAAACTTCGACAGATTTTATATGAGAAGGGCTTCGCAGGAAAACCTGCTCAAATTTACAACAAAGACGAAAAAGGATGCCAGCTTACGCTGCATCACCAACAAACTGTGTTGGCTAGTAAAGGTGCTAAAAGGGTCCATATTGTTGCACCAGAGCACGGCGAAAATGTAACAATCGTGGAATGTGGCAACGGCATAGGCAACAGCATTCCTCCACTTATCATTATGAAAGGGAAACGAGTTAAGCCAGAATGGTATTATAATCTTCCAGCAGAATCAAAAATTATAATGATCAAGAAAGGAAGCATGACAACAGATGCATTTATAGAGTAGTTAGATCACTTCTGCAGATTCAAAAATCCTGGACCAGCCCTTTTTAATTTTTGATGGAGCTTCATCCCACTTAGACATTATAATTGTAGAAGCTGCAATGAAAAAAAATGTAACTCTGTTTTGCTACGTCCAACACCACCCACGAGCTTCAACCACTCGATAAAGCAGTTTTCAGAAGTTTTGAGTCGTACTGGATGAAGAGGTGTTAAATTTTTGGGTGAACCATAAAAATGAAAGAACCATCAACCGAGCAAGATTTGGGCAAATCTTTACGCCGGCTTGGAGAAAGTCAATGACACAAAAAATATTTGTTCTGGATTTGAAGCAACTGGGATATGGCCATTCAATCCAAATGCTATTCCGGATGCTGCCTTTGCACCTAGCTGTCTAACACACCGAGAGATTGAACCAATGGCCGAAGATGCTCAAGAAAGTCCTATAACCGGACCAGAAATTGTACCGACTGCCCAAACCAATACACATTTCGAAGAACAGCCATCCTGCAGCAATGGCAGTGGTGTAAACCAAAAATCTAAAAGCAAAGCATTGTCGAATAGTGAAAAAAGGAAAATTAAAAAAAAACAGGACTGTATAAAGTTTTTCAAGCTCAGATGAACGTCTCAGATGAAGACAGCGACTCATCTGGGTCTTATACAAGCGATACAGCTTCCAGCGAGGATTATGAGAAGAGTGATGTAGTTTACACAGATAATCATGACAATAATATGGTGGCAAAACTAAGTGAAACAAAGCCATGTGAAGAGCTGAATGCAAGTTTTAGTTCCAGTGGTTTGCTGACTACACCGGAGTTGAAAGTATCAACAAAAAAGCGTCGACAAGCCATTAATGCGAAAGCACAAGAAGTTACCAGGGATCTATTTAAAGGACAATCTCATAGCTCAGCCAAACCTAAACCTAATTTAAAAAAAGATCCAAAACCAAATTTAAAAAAAGACTCATGGTACTGCTTCTTGTGTGATGAGGATAGAGTGGCTGACATGCGCAAGTGTGTTCGGTGTAATAAGTACATCCACGAGGAATGTATAGGGTTAACAAAAAAGGATAAGGACATGTTTGTATGTCCTAGATGTGAATAAATGTGCGATATGTGTGCTTAATGTATTGACAATTTTTTTTTAATATGAATAAAAGTTTCTTTCACTAAATTTTGTATTTGTTCTTTAATTCTTAGGTTTAAAATTTATTATCCACCTCAATTTGTGTAAAACATGAAACTGGCCTTATTAAGCTACCAATTCCTAAAAGGCCAAATATTCCAGATTTATTCAATGTTACAATTTTATATTTCTTTATTTATTTAGTAACTATTTTATCCTGAAATTTGATAGCTAAAATGTTAGGCAATACGTATACAAGAGTTTTTCCCCATATTGTTTCTGAATAAAATATTACAGATATTTAAACCTTAAGGTGGCCTTAATTGGCGACTGTACATAATTATTTTTAATTTGTGACAGGCAATGCTAATTTTGTATATGTGTAGCAAAGAGTATAATTTTAAATAAATGAAGATTTAAAAGTAAAATTTCAAACTATCGAAAACATCTACCGAAACAACAAAACGGAAGTCAGAATAGATGGACAATTTACAAAACCTATAGAAATAGGCAGCGAAATAAGACAAGGGGACTCATTGAGCCCTATGTTTTTAATTATATCATGGATAAAATTATCAAAAGCGTTAACAATAAAAGAGGAAAGATGAATTCCTTAAGTACGAAGGATAAACTGTACATAGACAAATACACAAACTAATAACACTTATATGGAACGAAGAGAAAATACCAACAAAATGGCACGAAAGTGTAATAATCCTCATCCATAAAAAGGGAGACAAAACCAAGTCATCATCATCACGTAGCGCTACAACCCTAAGTGGTGGGTCTTAGTCACTGTGATTTAATTTCTGGGACAATATCGGCGTCATTGTAGAGTGCTCTTAATTCGATTTTGGTTCTGATCTTTTACTGGTTTGTGGTGATGTCATGGTGAGGTCCGAAAATGTTTCTTAGTATTTTTCGTTCAAAGCGTCTGAGCTTTTCTTCGTTTGCTTTGGTTATCGTCCACGTTTTGCATCCGTATGTTATTGCAGGTCTGACGATGGATTTATAGATTTTGGTCTTTGAACTTCTTGGGAGATTTTTTGATTTTATGAGCTTATTCAGTGCGAATAAACAGAGGTTTGCAGATTGGATTTTGTCTTTTATTTCTTCAGTAACATCGTTGTCAGCTGTGATTGAAAACGTTGTACTCTTTCGAAATTGAAGGTGTTGTGCTGATCTTCTTGTATGATGTTTAGAAGGTCCCTAAAATACTCTTTCCATTCTTCAGGTACTTCTTTACCGTCGATTATCATATGGCCTTGAATGTCTCACAATGTATCTATGGAATTGGTCCTATGTCCTCTTCTCTCAGAGGAAATTGCTTAATCGAACTCTCTGAAGCCTGGTTTGGGCCGGTCTCTCTCCATAGATTTATATTTTTGTTGTTCATAGTTTCTTTTCTTTGTGCGTATTATTTTTCTTGTTTCTTTACAGATATATCCAAGTCTTCCTTACTGTTTATCTTTTTTCCAGCTGTTTCCGACATTCCCCATCATACCATGTTTTTGCCCTCTTCTGCCTACTCCTTCCAAAGATTTTGTCCGCTGTCTTGGTTATTATTTCGGCAGTCGTTTCCCATAGCTGTTTTATATCATTCGATTCTCTTTCAGAGTTCAAGGTTTGTTCAAGTTTTTCTTTATAGTTTTGTTGTTTCTCTGTATTATGTATTTCGTCAATGTTCCATTGTGGTTTATTGTTGTTTTAATGTATTTGTGGCTAGATTTTCTGAATTTGACTTGCTCTAACTAAGTTATGATCTGTGTCTGCGTCTATTCCTCTCAGGCTTCTTACGTCTATAATATTGTTCCCATGGCGGGCATCTACAATGATGTGGTCCATTTAGTTGCGCGTAATATGGTCGTTTGAGACCCAGGTTTGCTTATGGATGTCTTTATGCGGAAACATGGTTGACTTTATTAGCATATTATTAGCTGCTGCAGTTTCTGTGAGTCTTAAGCCATTGTCGTTAGATATATTGTGTAGGCTGTGTTTTCCTATTATGGGGTATAGGCTAGGCTCTTTGCCTATTTTAGCATTAAAGTCTATATCTCTTTCTACACAAAACCAAGTGCTCTAATTATTAAGACATCTCCCTTACTTAATACGGAATATAAAATCTTATCGAACATCCTAATAATTCTGCTTTAAGGTGGTGGTTTTTAAGGGTTGAAATTTCACAGTCAATCAAAAATTATATTATAAACATTGAAGAAACTATTTGAGTAGTATTAATCTGCAATTTGATATTTCAGAAATATAAAAAATTATTTTTTCATGATTTTCAATTTAAGGTATAGTTGTTAAAAGGGTTGAAAAATTAATTAAAATCATAAATCATGCTCATAAATGCTGCAAAATATTTATTTTATTTAATTAATCGAGATTACTTATGCCAGAATGCTTAAATCTGTATTTTTTACCATTTTTAACAAAAGGGGTGGATTTCACCCCTAAAATGCAAAATGCGCAAGTTGAGTAGATGTCACTTTTAAAGTTGAGGGTAAAATATCCTTAATCTTAAATTTTCATGCAAATCGATGAAGGTTCACCGAAATCGGAGGTAATAGTTGATTTTTACCTTCATTCACTGTACTATAAGTTTAAAAAGATAGAACTTCACTGAAATGAACATTTTTATCGGTGAATTCAACACCTCAATTATAAATAACAAATTGTATATGTAATCGTATATAATAAAATAGATAATCCCAAATACCTTATCCGCATTAACTTCAGAGAATAAAAATGTGCTGTCGTACGGTCTGAGTACCTCCCCTTGCTTAACAGCTATCACAGATGCAGGTCCACACCTATACTGGTCATCACTTAATTCCTGCGGCGTGGCATCGATGGCTTGCCATCCACCATAATGGCTACCCAGATCAGGTCTATCCATCCAGACTTCGTTCCAAACATGAAAGTTCCAGACGGAATCTGACGCCATTTCTTCCATTAAAGACCCATTTTCATCAACGAAATAGTCCACCGTTAAAGAGTTTTGAGTATCATGAGCTGAAGAGTAATTCGTGACGGTTCTAGCAGGTATGCCAAGAGCTCGACAAGCTATAACAATACAAAGTATCAACAAAAAACTTAAATGGTTAAAAAAGGCTTATCTGTACTGGCTTTTCCACTATTCGTAATAGTTGTATGTAATTTACGCTCTTTTGTAAATAAAGCAAGGTAAGTACCTACTAACCTAAAAGTTAAAAAAATATTTTTAATGTATATTTTAAAATCTATTCTGTCTACCTCCTCACATCAATCAATGGTCGGGTTCTTACACCCGTACCATGACAAAAAATTTTTTTCAATTTTTTTTAACGTGTTTGTGAAGTCCAGTGTCGGCTTTTTATATGTTTTTATATGTTTTAAGAATTTCAACAACTAAAAAAATCATAATTCTGAATATAAGGAAATGAGATCTCTCCTTTGTAGTGGTATTTAAAAAATTGACCATAGCTCTGATGTTGGCTTTGTAAAGCGAAAGCGCTCAGCTAGGAATTGCCTAAAATATACACACTTCAAAAATACTTCGAAAAACAAAATAAATGAAATTTTTCTTTTTTAACCCTTTCCAAAGAGGACTTAGAATAAATTGAGATTTGTTAATTTTTCCACATATACAAGAATTTATTTATTCATTATTTATAAAATTTCTTCTCCTGAATCCCCGTACTTTATAATTTTCGATTCTTATCTCTACCTATATTTAAATTCCAATCTCCGTTATTGTTGTTTCTCCTGCAGTAAACGCAAAGTGAAATTCCAAACTGCTAATACATTTGAAATAATAGAAACTTATATCTTACCGGTTGATAGGACACCTGCAAATACCCAACACTGACCATATTTAACAGGTTTTTTCTTCTTGTAATACTGCTGTAGGATCTCCTTGCTGCCTATCCATTTTGTTGGAGGTGTTCCTCCACTGTGGTCTGTAGACCAATTTCCCATTATTGCTCCGTTATCATCTGGAGAGTTTACTGCTGCAGCTAAAGCTCTAAAATATTTAGAAATATACTAATAAAATATATAATATACTAAATAAATAAATATAATATATACTAATAAACTATACTAAGAAAATTCAGTTTGTCTTTGTGCAACAGTGTTAGCTCTTGGGCTAGACTATATATAGATAATTTTAAATAGTATAAAAATTTGTATAAAAAGATTGTCTAAACGAAACCAAACTGAAGACGTGCTTTAAAGTAGCGGGCTTTACCAAGACTTGAATTTTTCAAGTTATTATTTGTTTGTAAGAATTTTTTTTATTCTTTTTTTTTATTTGTGAAGAGAATGAGCTCGGAAGTTTTAGCCCCTGATTTTTTGTAGTGGTGTAAAAACAATAAACAACAATTGGTGGAGATCAGACAAAGTTTCATCATGTAGGTTGTAACTCCTGGACAGAGAGGTTGGTCTCTCAAGTATGGTACAGTTATTCGATAGTTGATGTATTAGAATGGAGGGGTAGTCGTATCATTTGTAGTTTACTTCACGCAGAATACTCCTTTTCAACGACAGCAGCTGCTGTGACAGATCCCCATTGATCAAGACGTAGATATTGGCCATATATTCAATCAGGGGCCGGACCTATGTTTTGAATGTGTGAATAAGTGTATTCGTATGCCATCGTATCTCCATCTCCTGCAATTACTATCGACACGATTTAGGTGATTTTTGGCGTGCCTTTTGCAGGCATCTGCATCTTGTGCTCTTGTTATAAAAGCAATGTCATCTGCGTAAAATAGTGTGAATGTGTTTGTGTTTCTGGTGTTAGTAATTTAGCTGTTGTAACTTGAGTATAGTATGGACACCAAGGAGGAAACTTGTGGCACCTTTTCTTTAGGAGTTTGCGTTCTTTTTTATTTCTCTATATCCAGATCCAACGAATGTAGCATGTTTTCAAGAGAACTCTTTAGCATTTGAAAAGCTCTCAAGTTTTCTTTTGACAATCATCAAAGTGTAGCTCTGAGCTCCGATTCCTTATCCGCAATTCATTCGTTACAAAATATTTTCAATCAATATCACGTAGTGCAAAAAGTACAAGAATCGATCTATGTCCATACTTCCCGAGGTACTTATCTGTAACAATAATATGGCTACCAAAGAAATGAGATGGCTGACAGAGCTGCAAAAGAAGCATCTACATCCAACTAACCCATCTAAAACATACAGCTCCAAAAAGATTTAAAATCAAAATTCTAAAGAAATATTCAAGGCAAGTGGTAGGAACTTTGGATCACCAAAGACACAAAGCTCAGAGAAATACAATCTAATGTTTACATCTATTTATCCCTAGCATACCTGAACAGAAAAGAGAAGATAGCAATACGAAGTATTATGTCTTATGTCCTCTACAGACCAACAGTTATGCTGCCACCACAAAGGTAGTCCTATTACCGTCAAGCACATCCTCACAGAATATTAACACTACCAGGGATTCGCATTTTCAACAACATAATCCACAGTTTAAAAGTTCAAGCCAACTCAAGAGCCTAATAGACTTCTTAAAAATTACACAGTTGTTAAACCAAATATAATTTACATAATATTGTTATTATTTACTATTGTACTCTGTATCATAACTCTTTAGGTAGTATTATAAACCTTTGCTTCCGTGTCAATGACCAAATATGTCGAGACAAGTTAATTTGAAATAAAAAAAAGAATATAAATAGTGATCAAATCATTACCTAGTAGTCATTACAGGATCAGATCGTTGTCTAACTTTAGCCTTTCCTACTATGTTTACTAAATATAAGGAACAGTCCAAAATATCTTTGTCAAATTGGTCGTATTTCCAAATAACTGGACGTAACCTGTTGTAAGTTCCTCTCCAAATTAATCCCGTATCGTTAAGAACAGCTTCTTCTCTCCACTCGCTTGATTTTAAATATACCTGGTCCTGAACACACCAAGGGTTGAATAAAATGTAGATTCCTAAAAATTTATATAGGTGCATTTAAGAATATTATTAAAACAAACATTTTTATAATACGGAACAATAATTCATAATATAAAGTAGTTTAGATATAAACAAATTTACAATGCGTACTGCAATTCAACAATCACCGACCGAAACGATTAAGACAAGACGACTCCAATAGCTGGAATAAATATTCTTCATCTTCTTTTAGTGCCAACTTGCCGACTTCACTACTTAAGGTTGGCTATAACCATTGCAAATTCGTCTCTATGTTCTGACTGTGTGTTTAACCTGGCCCAGTCGCGAATGTTTTTAAGCCAGGATATTTTTTGTCTACCAGGACCCCTCATTTTCTTTTGATTTTACCGTTCATAATCTGCTGCAATAACTCGTACGTATCATTTCTAGATATATGCCGCAAATATGCTGTCTTTCTCCTTTTAATGATGGTCAACAGTTCTCTGTGTCTTCCCATTCTTTGCACTAACTTCCACCAACACTACTTCGTTCATTATATGATCGGTCCATAGTATTTTCAAAATTATCCTAAAACCTCAGCCACATCTCAAAAGCTTTCAGCATACTCATTAAGTCATAATAGAGAATAGAGTGGAGAGCCTAAGAATAGAGTGGATATAACATTTTACCATTCGGATTTACAGATTGAGTCTTTGGTTACCCAGAAGTTTTCTCATTTTCAAAAAGGCTGCTCTTGATTGCTCTATTGTTGATCAAATTCCTGATTGCGGATTTAGATCTTCAGTATCCAGGCTCCTAAGTACTTCATTTTGTCCACTTGTTCAATATCTTCATGTTTTGTTTAAATACTTTACCCTTCTTAAAGATAATCATGATTTTTAATTTCTTTAAGTTGATTGTTAAACCAAACTGTTCCCTAGCACAAATTTAGAAGCGTCTGCAGGTCTTTCTGCATTGCTTTCCCCGATAATGACTATTATCGGCATAACGAATGTTATTTATATTTTCACAATTGAACTTGTCCCTTCTGTACAGTTTTCAAATGCTTGTATAAATAAATCTTCGTTATTTACACGTTATTAGGTATATATTAAATAGTAATGTTGAAAGTACACAGTCTAATTCACTCCTCTACTTATCTGTTACTCATCCGTGCTCTTTCGATTCTTTAAACATTCGATGAGAATGATATATTAAACTTCATCGAAAGCTTTTTCATATTCTATAAATGCAATGAAAAGATCTTTTTGTTAGCATGTTTGTGCAATAATTGTGAAACTATACAGAGCTTCTACTTCTCCGAAGTTATAAAGCCAAAGTGTCTTTTGCTTATATTCGCTTCACACTTTCTTGGTTCTTGGTTTTTGTCTTCATCTGTAAGTTTAATCAGCTCGATGTGAACTTGTAAACTTGTGTGAAGGGGTGTAGAGTTGTTTAATAGAGGTAGCACCTTTCATGGGAACGACCACATCGAGCGTTATAGACGGGAGATGGTTCTTGATAACTGGTCCTTATAAGACAACTAACTCTCACTTATGGCTCCACGTGCTACACCCAGAGCAATTGCGTTGGTCTGCAAGCTAAACTAAGTAAGGGTAGCCAGATATCGCGAAAATTCCACCGAGCGATTGCCGGTAGAAGCAATCCCCCGTTTACTGACCAACAGCTTCGGTGGAGGAGCTAGTAAATGGTAGGGCACCCCTTTGTCTTGGAGTTGGGAAACTTCCTTCAAGAACTTCAGAATAGGCACATGGAACATAAAAAGTATTATACAGGAAGGTAAAATGTATAATGCAATACAAGAAATGGCACACATGAAATTAAATATTCTGGGAATAAGCGAAAAGAAGCCTTCAGGAACCGCAAATATCGGGGAAACAGATAACTCCAAACGTGAATTAGGTATCGGTATTATATTGACAAAAGACGTCGCAAAATCTGTTGAAAACGTCATTCCAATATCAGCAAGAGTGATGATCATACAACTCAAAGCAAGACCACTCGACATCAATATAATTTAGGTGTATGCACAACAGAAGGAACAAAAAAAAAGGTAGCAGAAATTTACCATAACATTAATTAAGTCGTGAAAAGGTTGAAAAAGCAAGTCCTAACAATTATCATGAGTGACTTCAACGCCAAAGTTGGGGCCAGCAAAACATTATCTGCAGTTGGACCATTTGGAGTAGGAAACCAGAATGATCGAGGAGATAAATTAAAGATTTTTGCGGAAGCAAATCAATTAGTAATAATGAACACCTAGTTTAAGCTAAACATAAGGAAATTGTACACCTTCATCCTGTGAAGGAAATCTTTACCAGGATTCTGTGGGACGGATTGTAAGAAATCAGATTGATAACATGCTAGTAAATAAGAGGTATAGGAACAACTGTACATCTGTCAAAACATATGAACTTATGGATCAGAGAAGAAAACAAAGAACATCTCCAAGAATGTAAGAGAATACATACCATCGTCAGAAGAAAGATAAGAGAAGCCAAAGAGAAACAAAAAACAGAACAATGGCAAGAAATAGAGAAACAGATTCGATATGATAACATCAATGTTTATCGAAAGGTGAAGGAAATAGCTGGAAAGTTGAAGGCGGAAACTCTATCAAAACTTTAGACTTTGTAGCTATGGTTATACACAAGGATTCTGAAGATACCAAGGAAAGACAAAGTCACCAATGAAGCAGTACTACGGAGGATGAATACAACCGCGAATTTGGTCAACATCGGGAAAGGCCGTAAGTTGCTGTTTGTGGAGCAGATAATGAGAAATCAAGGCAGATATGAGCTACTCCAATGCATTTTGCAAGGTAAAATTGAAAAAAAAAGAGCTCCAGGATAAAGAAGAGTATCCTGACTTGCTAACGTGATGTTTGTTCGTGATTTTTAAAATAATTCTTAAACTATTTTCCTCCATTTTAATGCATATTCTTTGTTTTATGGTTCTCAGTATTTCTTGAGTCATCCAAGGTTTTTGACTGTCTTTTTTCTTTTGTAGAGTTTCGTTATGTGCCTTTATACCAGAATCTTTGATTTTGCTCTACATAATTAATACAGATATTAAACAAATTGCATTAAGAATACCGAAGGAAGAAGAAAAATGGTAGACCAGAAAATGATAATATGAAAAGACGGGTAATAGAAATAAAATACAGAACAAATATGATATGACTATAGCTTTAAATGTTCTAATTAGTCTAACGAGCTAACTATCTAAAAACCAATAGAAAACAATATTTAGGTAATAAAAAAGTTTATTTAATACACTTACGTGTTTCCCAGCTGTAGCTATAGGATCCATTATCCATTAGCTTTGTATCCACTTCCAAGTTCCATTTTCCAACAATGGCATCAGGTGGTGTAGTAATTTGTATCGTTATTACACAACCTTCACTTTTCTCTAGTAGAACATTCCAAGAAAGGTTTTTATTTGGTTTCTTTAACAAAGGTACTCCTACTAACGAACCATTTCCATGGGATAGTCTTTCCTCTCCTTTAAAATTTTATATCGTTGTATTTATGTATAATATAAATATGTATGTGTGACAAAAAAAAGCAAAAGTAAAAACTCAAGATCATGATGTTTGTAAAACAAATGTGAATGTTTCACCACAATGTTCAGTTTTAAATTGAATTGTTTATCAGACAATCAACATTTATTATCTTTTTCTCGTTCCTTCTTGTTTGAATATGTAGCCTGTAAAGCATGTTTCCTCTTCAATATTAGCCTCATAAATTGTTTAAATTATCGCACCATTTTTTTCTTGGTCTGCAAATACTTCTTCCTCCATTTGGTGACTTATCTCATGCTATTCCTACTATCCCATCCTCTGCCATTGGACTAATGTGTTCGTTCCACTCTTGTTTTCATTGTTTCACCCATTCATTTATATCTTCTTTAAGCATGCTCTTATTTTCGCATGTGTTCGCTTCTCTTCCTATCCAACAGACTTTTCCCTGATAGTCCCTGAAGTCTCAAGCAGACCAAAGGTTCTATAGTTCTTGCAAAGCATAGGATCATATTTTTTATGAATTGGGAAAATACGTCCATCAGACCATTCTACTGACATCTTCTTTCAAGTACACCCAATTAATTTAGCTACACAGTTGCTTTTCCAATAGCCCTGCACCCGCTTTTAACGTTTCGCCAATTTACTTCATTGCTTCTATTATTTTTTGGGTCTTCAATTATGCCCATTATTTCTTGAAATAATTAAAAATAAAGAAATATTAAAACAAATAAAAAAAATACCTGATCGCGCTAATAGATGTCGGTTCTAGACGAACACATTTTAACCTTTATAAATTTTAGTATATTGAATAAATCATTGTAAGTATACTAACCATCTAGAAATATTATGAACGAAACTCCATCCCTCTTTTCATCATATGGTCGGTTAAGAGTGATATCTAATTGAAAACTCTGTCCTCTTCGGACAACCAGTTGGGGATAATACTCCCGTTCCATAACTTCATATCGAGAGGTATGATGGAATGCGCCATTAGCTTTTATACATGGATCGATATTCCTTATAATTAAGATATCTGGTTCTGGTTCGTCTGATAGAACATTGTTGTAGGATTCATCTAAAATCATTAATATCAGTAATAGTGCTAAAATGTTATCAAAATTTTTATTGTCTTTTAAATACCTTATATTTATTATTAGTTAAAGCGAATAAAAATATTTTTACACCGGAAATAAGCAGAATTTGAGACAGGCAGTTGTTTTGTATTATACACATTATTGAAAAGGAAATAGCTGTTAATAAGACCTACATTTATTGTATGTAAAACTACGAAAGGCTTATGACGGCGTTCCATAATATTAACTATGGAAATTAGTTGGAAACAACTAATATAAGCAATCAGTACGATGAAAGAGCTGTACGGTAACACAAAGGTAAAGGTTGGATATAGTCTGTTAAATGGATTCCAAATGATTAAAGGCCTAAAGAATTATTCAAAATTTATCTAGAATAGAAAAATGAAAAATGGGGACTTTAAAATCAATATCACAAAAACCGATTATATGTGTATCGGTGGAAAGTAAAAATATCTAGGTATGTAACAATAAAACACTGAAAACTTTTTTTTAAAACTTCCACAAAATTTATTTTATCCTCTTATCACTACAGCTGTTTCGGCTGACTACTTTTCTCAAATGATCTATTTTTCGCATGCATTTACACTTTATAGTCTCTAATGAAATAGAGTAGTTGGTCATTCAGAATTATATCTGTGTTTTTTAATTTGTTGATTTCCACAGATTCTAACAAAAATAGCTTAAGGCCTTTATTTTGAATGTCAAGAATTTTAAATTCGTCATTAAAAAAATGATTGTGATCCAGAAGGTAAAGTGCGTATGTAGAATCTGTTTTTCTCTTACTGAAAGCCCTTTTATGTTCTGCTATTCGTTTATTAAAGTTTCTAGCAGTTTGACCGATGTAAGTTATTGGGCAGTCGCCACATTTAAGTTTGTGCACACCACTGTGTAAGTGTTTTTTATTTTGGCTCTTGTTATTTTTGATATATTTGCCTAGGTTGTTATTTGTTCGGAAAGCTGGTGTTATTCCTTTCTTTTTTATGTGTCTGGCACAGAAGTGTCATCTGCTTTGTTCGATTACCTAAAATCTTTGGAACTGGATAATATAACTCAGATTAGATTGTTCTGCGATGGATGTGGGGGCCAAAACAAAAATTTTCATTTGGTTCATATGTTAATGTTTTGTTTGTTAAAGTATTCTCTGTCCTGTGGTCTGTGAACTGTGTTTGTCATTTGTCATCTTAGTTTTAGTTAATGTCATATGTAATTGTCATGTTATTCATTCAAACAAAACAATGCTAATTTCTTGTATATTAAAACCTAGTTTATAAAGGTTTTGCATTTCATTACAATTTAATATACAAGAAATATCAAATATGGATAAGCTACTACGACCAGACAGATTCGATGCTGATCCTAACTCTCCTAGATCGTCTCAAGAATGGATGCATTGGAAAGCTACCTTTGAAAACTTTATTTCCTCTGTGATTGATGTTTCAGAGGAGGAGAAATTCAAACTACTGGTAAATTACGTGAGCAACAATATCTATGAACTCATCTCTGATTGTAGAAAGTATTCTGAAGCCAAAAGTATTCTTGAAGCAGCTTTTGTTAAACCCAAAAATGAAATTTTTGCCAGACATATCCTAATGACAAAAAAACAACAAACTGGTGAAAATATAGGTCAATACGTTCAACATCTTAAAGTGCTTTCCAAAGACTGTAATTTTCTAGCCGTTTCTGCAGACCAAAATAGAGAAGATTATATAAGAGACTCTTTTATTAATGGCATTCTTTCTAATGACATAAGACAACGTTTACTAGAAAACAACACTATTACTCTGCAAGATGCCATAGTAAAAGCCCAGTCTCTGGAGTCAGCTTCAAAACACTCTGAGGCTTATACAACTCCTGTACAAATTATTAATGCAATTTCTTCTGAAACCAGAGAGCACACTAATTATACTTCTGCTGCTGTGAAAAGTTGGAAATGTTACTTTTGTGGATCAACTGAAAGGCATCCTCGTAGCCTATGCCCTGCTAGAGACAAAGTTTGTAAGAAATGCTCGAAAGTTGGACATTTTTCCAAGGTATGTAGGCTTCAGATGCCCAATTCAGTATCAGCTGCTGTTTTAGCTACTACTACATCTAGTTCGAATGTTAGAAATCTTGCTGCTGCCCCTCAATGCTTATCTAAAAGTGTTACTGAGATAAAGGTGAATGGAAATACAGCTGAAAGTTTAATAGACACAGGTAGTTCTGAGTCATATATCAGTAAGAATTATGCATTGTCTATAAACGTGAAAACATTTAGAAGTCATGCAAGCATAATAATGGCTTCAACAGCACTCAGAACGACTATCTCAGGACACTGCTTTGTTAATTTAGAAATAAACGAACATTCATATAAAAATGTCAAATTATCAATAATTCAAGATTTATGTGCTGATGTAGTTATAGGTCATGACTTGCTTAAACAACATTCTTCTCTAGAAATCACTTTTGCTGGCTCAAAAATGCCTTTAGTTATTGATCATATAGATAACATTTGTAGTTTGGCATACTTAAATATAGAGCCACCCAAATTATTCTCCAATCTATCAAATGATTGCAAACCGAGGGCAACTAAATCAAGAAAATTTTCAACTGAAGATAGAAAATTCATATCTGACGAGATACAGTATCTGCTATCGAATGGAATCATAGAAGAAAGCAACTCTCCTTGGCGTGCACAAGTACTTATTACAAAAAGTGAAACACACAAAAAGCGAATGGTGGTAGATTATTCACAAACAATTAATAAATTTACTTACTTAGATGCCTATCCTCTCCCAGATGTTGAAGATATTGTTAGAAAAGTAGCAAGATATTCTGTCTTCAGTACTATTGATCTTAAAAATGCATACCATCAAATTCCAATTAAAAATGAAGAGAAAATATACACTGCTTTTGAAGCCAACGGCCAACTATACCAATTTTGCCGGATTCCTTTTGGGGTAACCAACGGAGTGGCTTGTTTTCAAAGGGTTATCGATGGTATTATTAAATCCGAACATTTAAAAGGTGTGTATGCATATCTTGATGACATTACGGTTTGTGGATTAAATCAACAACAACATAATGAAAATCTTAATAAATTTATGGAAGTAGCGAAGAAATACAATCTAACAATAAATCAAAATAAAAGTTCTTATACACTAAATTCAATCAAACTTTTGGGTTATCAAATAGAAAATCAGACCTTAAAACCTGATCCTGAAAGACTTGAACCATTAAAGAAGTTACCCTTACCAAACGATTCACAATCACTAAAGAGAGCTGTCGGAATGTTTGCACATTATTCCAAATTTATCCCACAATTTTCAGAAAAGATACAAAAACTAGTCACATGCAATACTTTTCCTTTAACAGAACAAGCAGCTGAAGCTTTCCAAATTCTTAAATCTGAAATTATTTCTTCAGCTGTTACTACAATTGATGACAAGATTCCTTTTATCGTTGAATCTGATGCTTCAGATTTTTGTATTGCTGCTTCTCTTAGCCAAGGAGGAAGACCTGTTGCTTTCTTTTCAAGAACCTTATCAAAAAGTGAAAGAAATCATTCATCAGTGGAAAAAGAGGCTTATGCAATAGTGGAAGCTCTTAGAAAATGGAGACATTTCTTGATAGGTAAACATTTTCGACTTATAACTGATCAAAAGTCTGTCTCTTTTATGTTCAATATGCGCCACACTAGTAAGATAAAAAATGAGAAGATTATCAGATGGCGCCTTGAATTATCATGCTACAGTTTCGATATTCAGTACCGACCAGGAGTTGAGAATGTAGTGCCAGATACTTTCTCACGAGTGAGCTGTTCAATAAATCCTCGACCAAGTCTATTTGAACTACATCAATCCTTGTGTCATCCAGGAATCACCAGAATGGTCCATTGGATAAAGACACGCAACTTACCATATACTATTGATGAAGTCCGTGAAATGACCAATCGCTGTCCTATCTGTGCAGAAATAAAACCAAAGTTTTTGAAAACTCAAGGGAGATTAATTAAAGCTACTTCGCCTTTTGAAAGATTGTCTCTGGATTTTAAAGGACCGCTTCCATCTAGATCTCATAACAAATATATCCTAACAATTGTTGATGAATATTCTCGATTCCCCTTTGTATATCCATGTCAAGATGTTTCAGCGAAAACTGTTGTGAAGTGTCTTACAAACTTATTCTCTTTATTTGGAATGCCTAGTTATATCCATTCAGACCAAGGGGGGCATTTATGTCTCAAGAAGTCAAAACATTTCTCCATTCACAAGGAATACCAACAAGCCGAACAACATCTTACAATCCTGAAGGAAATGGCCAGACAGAAAGATATAATGGAATTATATGGAAAACTATTTCTCTTGCATTAAAATCTAAACATTTAAAAACTGAACAGTGGGAAGAAGTAGTTGAGATAGCTCTTCATTCAATTCGTTCTCTTTTGTGTACATCTACAAACAGTACCCCTCATGAGCGAATGTTTCATCATTCCAGAAAAGCTATAAATGGAGCTGCACTTCCTTCATGGTTGATAACCCCCGGAAAAGTATTTATGAAAAAAAATGTGAGGCAGTCCAAATATGAACCCCTCGTTGAAGAAGTACAGCTAATTGAAGCAAATCCAAACTATGCTGTTGTTAGACGTGAAGATGGTAAAGAAACAACAGTAGCCTTAAGACAACTTGCACCACGAGGAGATGCATCTCTGGACTGTGTTAGTGGATCGGAATCTGCGGTTTCTAATGAACAGTTTATCAAAGATCCACCAAGCCCTAGATTGAGTATAGGTGAGGAAAATCCAAATATTTCTCCTGTTAACATTCTGGAAGATCAAGGTCATATTGAAAGTGTTTTAGAGGAAGAAAATAAACACAGTCTTATTAGAAGAGGTACCAGGGAAAGAAACACTCCTGCTTACCTTAAAGACTTTGTTCAAAAATAAAGTTGGGGTGAATGTCCTGTGGTCTGTGAACTGTGTTTGTCATTTGTCATCTTAGTTTTA